AATCGGGTCTCAATGTGAATCAAAGTAGAATCTCGTAAAGTAGCAACAGAACGAATCTTGAACAGATTCGAAATGCACAATACTGAATGGTATCTATCAGCTAACCTCGGAACGATTTTCTCAAGAATAACAGAATCTCGAACAGAACCTAAACAATTCTGAAATTCTATATCTATTCCCTCGTAAAGAGAAATGTGAATTAAACCACGGACTTGAAGTTTAAATATCTAGTGACGTGACAGGTAACTTGTCTCAAAACACTGCAGTACAAAGGCCCCTACATTAATCACGCCAATATATGGTGTTGTATATTAATAACCACTTTTCGCCTAGCCGTTAAAAATAACAAAGTACAGGAGTGCAGGTCAGATTTGGCGCTCACTGACCCCCGTACAGCCATTCCTCCTCCTCGTCTCCTGCACTCGCATCAGTGGTGGTGGTTTTATCCGCCTCCTCTGCAGACATCTTCTCCTCTGGGCTCTACAATGCGCTCCAGAAGTCAAAGACACGGTCAGATTAAAACCCACCAACCCCGAAAGAGCGCACGGATATTTTGGTGGGGAAAACACAAACGCACATACGAATATAGAAAACAAACGTATTGAATGATGTTTACGGAGCAATCCACACTTCCTTCAGTCTCTGTAGGATGTTCTTGCAGACTTGAGGACATCAGTTCCGGTTTATGGGGTGTACAAATTAAAAGTCTCACACACACACACTGTTTGGACACAGTTGGCGGAAATTATGTTTCTTATGATCTTATAAAGCATTTTTGCTTTTGCTTAAATACTTGGAATTAGTTTATTTGCAGTATACACGTGTAATCATTTAATCAGACAGTTCAGATAACTTCAGATAACTGATAAAACAATTATGTATGAATTATTACTATTAATCAGAATCAGAATCAGAATCAGAATGAGCTTTATTGCCAGGTATGTTTTCACATACGAGGAATTTGTTTTCGTGACAGAAGCTTCCACAGTGTAACAGAATGTCAGTGACAGAACAAATGAACTGAACTGAACTGTTAATCAAATTAGGGTCGCTCTGGAACCTTGGTCCAAGTACAAAGTTATTGAATAAAAAGTCATTACATATGCATATATCTCATATAAACACCTGCTAAATGTTTACGCAAATAGTGTAATATAGCTTTATAGCGCACATCAGCCACTAGATGTCTCTAAGCAATAGTTCTCTTATATTCAGTTCTTGGAGTGATCGATATAATTAATTCGTGTGATTCTTTAACCTGTCATTAGGCCTGTGCCATGTTAATCCTGATGTACAGATTCCTAAAACAATGATCTTCCTGGAAAAATATATATAGGCATACATTAAAGTCAGGTAATAATAATAATTTCATATAATTTAATAATGAAAACGTAAATGGCATGATACCATTAACAGTTTCAGATCAAATTTTCAGCAATAGTTTTATTTCAACAAATATCTTATACAATTTAGGATATGTGTATGTGTGTTTTACATAAACAGTAATGAAATGTGCAAATTTCTCACGCTCACACACATTCTAACTGACTAATTAGAAAATATTTAACTAGTTTTTCCCCCCACACTCTCTTGCCTTGAAAATTAGCCTTTTTGTATAAATATAAAAACAAAAATAACAAAATTTAAAATGTTACACACTGGTGACACATTTTTAATTAGTGCAAACAGACAATCAATTTTGATTAAACTATAATTAAGCAATATTTTTGTGATTCTCAACTCTTCTTTTAGGTAAAACTAATACAAATTATTTATTTACAAGCCTCCATCTTAACTGATTATATGATTGATTACTATTACTCTTACTTCAGTTCAATTATAATGTTTAATACTTAAAAATAAATAGCACACACTTCATTCATTCCTGTGTTGTTTGTGTTTCGTCCCTCAGTGACTGATCTTCTAACACTATGTGTGCACATTAACCTCTTTGACCAGTTACAGGAAACTCCGTGCAGGCTAGCATTACTGTGAGTGTTTGATGACCAAGCACACGGACAGAGAGATACTCTTTCTTCTTCATTAAGTAAGCATATGCAATGGCCCCAAGAAATATTTGGATACTTAAGCCACACTTACTTACAAAATCAAGTGACATCTTCAAACAAATAATGCTAAAGCTTTTCTCATAACTAATCACTTTTCTGAGCCATTTTTGCAATTACCTTAACCTGTCCCAGAGTGATTTAAATGATATTTGAAGTCAATTCTCCTCAAGTGCACAGGTGTCTTAGCAGAGAAACCACAGGTGTTGCCCATCACATTAACTATGTACATGATTCATTAGCGTTTGATAACCAGAAAGCGTCCAAATACTTTTTGTCTTAATTTTGATTAGTCTGTCTGTTGTTTTATTATATAAAACATATTTAAAAATATGCAACATTTTTAAATTCTAAAATTGTGTGATTTAGAAGTTTTTTTTTTTTTTTTCAAATAAACTAAGATTGTGGTGTGTGAGAAGGTGGGACGTACAAAGAACAGTCAAAGCAGTATGCATACATAATGTAGGGGACTGTGATGAGAGCATGAATGAATGTATAATGAGAGCACGACAAAGCCAAAACCCAGACATTTTAAACAATTTAGAATTCCTGGTCATGACATATCTGGGAAAAACAGGACATATATGGTCACCCACCATATTGCAATGACATTTATACATTTTAAGTGTGACTTAAGAGTCCAAATATTTTGGGGCCTCTGTGAATATGGGATTTAAAGTAACTCAAATAAGGATTTTAAATGTTACACCTACTGGCACATCTTCCCATCAGACTCCCAAGCCGCTTTAAGAAATTAAGATTAAGATGAGTTTAGGTAAAAAGAGGCACGTACTTGTTCTTAGCAGCTCTATCATGGCTCTTTTTTAACAATTTCAATAGACAAACATCCCTGTGGATTCCAAAATGAAAGCAAGCCTCAGGGGCTGGGTGTGATTCAAGAATGAAGACATCAAGGACGGTGATGTAATTTTAGCCACAAGGACCATCAAAAAGGGCCATAAACACCTTTTCATTCAGCGACAAATCTGAGCAGTGATTTAACTCACAAACATATTTACACCAGTTTGCAACAGCTTATAAATATTATAGTAGTTCAGCACTTGTCATTTAAAATCAACAAAAAAATGCAATTGTCAAAATACTTTTTTTTTGTTTGTTTGTATAAGGTTATTAAGGGATTAGGGATTGCCTTCCCATCTTTTATTCATTGCTGTGAGCCAACTGAAGCCTCTCATTGTGAATTAATTACATATGTAACATGCCTGTCGTGAATACACTCTAGCCCAATGTGTCCTTAAAAGACTCCCAAAGCTCAGGAAATGCTGCTGTGTGCAACTTTTACAGGAAAACCTGTGTGAAATGAATTTTGGTGCTTACAATTTGGTGCTTGCAATTAATAATTTAATCGAACATATTAAAGAAGAATAATGAGTAGTACTGTACAGTTTCAGAGAAGGCGAAGACATCCAACCTAATTTAACAAAGTCAAGATGATCAACCTAATGAAGAGAATATACCTGATTGTTATGCACTGTTAAAAATACCATGTTCTTCAACTAACAGACCCTGATAAAGGTGACAAGCATCAACATGTACAACCCTATGCACTTTCAAAGCATCATCAGCATGCCATACATAAATCCATAGTCCCAAAGCCCTTGCACACTGAAATGTAACATTCCTTGAGAGGAGATTGCAGCCAACTAATTATTTATGAGAGGAAGTAGTCATGTGCACTCGTGCCTAATGGAAAACGATACTAGGACTCGTCAAGCTCTTTGGCATCCGGTCTATTAAAACCTCAGACCTCTTTTTGTGGCCGTGATAACCTGACTTTAGTGGTCATCTTCAAATGTATACAAAGAAGTAAACAAAAGATTAGGCTATGAGGAGACATAGGAAGTTGTCACAAGGATTATAGCTAAGGAAGTTGAAGGTTTTGGTGTCAAATCCAATTGGTTCCAGACACCTAGTTCAAAATGTTCAGAATTTAGGATATTTATATATGTATTATCCTCCAAACTATAGATTGTGGGTAAAAAGTGAACACAATAAACTCAAACTGGGATATATTATGCCAAAGGTGAAATATACTGTGGAGAAAATTTTAAATGAAAACTGTATTTTCAAAAACATATGTATTTTACATAAATGTAAGTTTGGTGCAAAATTTATTTCAAGAGGTTAATCTGGTGTAAATTCACTATAGCACACAAGGAACAAACAACCTCTTTCACTTATTCTCTTTTAACCATGGCAAAAACACTGATGAATAAATGTTAAAGGGATAGTTCACCCAAAAAATTTCTAGTTCCTGTATGACTTTATGTGTAGAACACAAAAGATGATATTTTAGATAATTTTGTTCACCAAGCAGTTGATAAACTCAAAATGTCATCTTCCACGGAAGAACGTTCACACAGGTTTGTAGACATGAGGATAAATAGATAATCACAGAATTTTCATTTTTGGGTGAATATCCCTTTAAGTTCTTCATTTAATGTTGCTGGATTACATTCAAAAGTAGGTTGGACCAATTTGTCCTATGTGTTTTATGAAATGTTATTTCAATCAGTTTAATTTAATGTGTGTTACCTCTTAGGTTAAACTAATGCTTTGATTATTTTGTAGCCTGTTACATACATTTTGGATGGATTGCTTTACTGTTAAAAATCGCTTTAAAAAGAAATATATGTTAAAAATGGCATTCTTACTTTGAGATTGAAAATGGCATTTTTACCTGACCAATTTAAACTAAGACGTTCCCTCAAATCGGCCAATAAACAGCAGGTTCCCAATGTGACAACATGCACCGATAAAATCAATGTGTATCGATGGAACTGTAACCTGTTTCCTGGACATTATTAAAGCTTTTTGGAGGCAAAACGTTAAGGTATGTGCCTATACAGAAATTGACTTTCAAAAATAAAACCTGAGAATTATTAATTGTGAAAACTAGCCCTGTCTCCCCTACACCTAAGCCTAACAAAAAAGTCATTTACTCTGACACACATCTTCAGAGTTAGTATGCTGAACCTCACTCTCATCTCCAAACATATGTATCTCCACCAATGGACGTTGCATTTCGTTGTCCACCTTCTCCAAACTGACATAACCGACGTCCATAGTGTTAACAGAGCCGCCCTGATTATTAGTGGACACCAGATCCTTGCACTGAATATCAAGAGGTGTTTTGGTGCACAGGCCATGGCAGCACAGAAGTCGAGCAAAAGCATCTCTGAAATCAGAGTTGAAAGCATATATGATCGGATTGAGAGATGAATTGCACCAGCCGAACCACACGAACACGTTAAAAGTTGCTTCGCTGACACAATTTGGCTTGTGGCAGAAAGGAACCGCACAGTTCAGGACGAAGAACGGAAACCAGCAGCACACAAACACCCCCATAATCACGGAGAGAGTTTTAAAGAGCTTGGTTTCTCTTATCGCGCGGTGTTGGAGAGGACAGGTGTGCGCACCTGCTCGGCAGTTCTGTGCGCGCTGAGCTGCGCGCTCCAACGAAGAGATGTTCTTGATTTGAACCTGAGCAATGCGGTAGATGCGCGTGTATGTGACCAGCATCACTGCTACAGGAATGTAAAAACTTATTAGAGAGGATGAAATGGCATAGGTTCTGCTCAGACTCGAGTCACACATTTCCTTGGTGGTCCAGTTGCTTGTGGTGACCGTTCCCAGGTCTGCCCGGTGCCAGTTCAGCAGAACGGGCACGAATGATATAGCCACCGATACGATCCAAGTTACGCTGACCATAACGAGGGCGACTCTACGGTTCATCTTCCTCTCGTATTGAAACGGGTTTGAAATTGCCCAGTATCGATCCAAGCTGATTACGCACAGGTTCAGGATAGAAGCGGTGGAGCACATAATGTCAAAAGCCACCCAGCACTGGCAGAAAGAGCCAAACGCCCAGTGTCCTGTCACCTCCGTGGCCGCTTTCCACGGCATCACGAGAACCGCCACCAGCAGGTCGGACATCGCCAGAGACACGATGAAGATATTGGTAACTTTTCCTCTCAGGTGACGGAAGCGCAAAACCGCAGCGCAAACCGTGAAATTCCCCAATAACGTCCACAGCACGAGGAGAGAAAGCGCGAAACCTAGAAAAATGCGACCCGCTGGCTCTCCGTGAGCGCTCAGGGATGTGAAGTTGTACATGTCTCTTTAAGTGTCACAAAATAACCAAAAACACACCAAAATATATTCCGTGTGGCGGACACCGCATACTCCCCACCAAAGCAATCCCATCTACTTCAGCGTTTTGACCGGATCTTACGGTTGACCTCATTGTTTCTTAAGACCCTCGCTGAAATGTTCACATGACTGAACGACAATCCGAAGTGTCTCGTGTCAGGTTCCTCTGCAGGTCACATTCATACTGGTGTAGAACGCCCTCTTTTGCCCATTTTACCCAATAGATAGCCTACAGTGTCACAAAAACGTATTTGGACGCTTAGTCCATCTCCATAGTGAAAAATGCATTAATGTCAATTAATTACAATATATAGGCTAATAAATAAATAAATAAATTTTTTTGGTTGTCAAACGTTAGTGGAAGTTAAAGCAAAAGTTCACCCAAAAATAAAAATTTGCTGAAAATCACATCAATTTGTTTCTTCACTGAACAGATTTGGAGAAATGTAGCATTAGGCTACATCACTTGCTCACCAATGGATCTTCAGAAGTGAATGGGTGCCGTCAGAATGAGAGTTCAAAAAGTTGATAAAAACATCACAATAATCCATAAGTAACCCACAGGACTCGCAGTCTGTCTTTTGAAGCAAAAACCTATAAAACAAAGCCATAAGACATTTTTAATTTCAAACCGTTGCTTCCTGATAAAATATGAGTCCTCTATTCATTACTGTCTCCACTAAAAAAAAATCATTTTGTCTGAATCAGGAGAGAAATGTGCAGATCAAGCACTGTGTTCAAGTGAAAACAGATAAAACAGTTCTAAACAAATATGTTGGTGGACTCTTTCAAGTGTTATAGATTATGGACTGGTATTTTGGCAAGACAGTTTAAAATGAAAATGCCTTAATGATGGATTTGTTTCTTACAAACACACAGATTTTCTCTTCATGACATTAATTAATGAATTTGTGTCGTGTGGATTACTGTGATGTTTTTATCAGCTGTTTGGACTCTCATTCTGACGGCACCCATTCACTGCAGAAGATCCATTGGTGAGCAAGTGATGTAGTGCTAAATTTCTTAATGTAATGCTAAATTTCAAATCTGTTCTGATGAAGAAACAAACACATTTAAATCTCGGATGACCTGAAGGTGAATACATTTAAATTTTTGGGTGAACTGTTTCTTTAATGTAATGACCAACAGTGCACCCCTTTAAGGTGCGGTCACATTAGAGATATTTCAGTGAAATTTTGCATAGAAAAAAGTCTATTGTCAATAGCATAGCGATGTATGAAGCGGTGATCACACATATCCAAGCTTTCTGATGTTCCACGTGGCGAATTTGTGACCAAATTAAACATGACTGAATCTACCTGGGGAATTTAAACTTAAAAGGGGACACAATGAATTAACTTGAATAGTATAGGCTACTTACCATTCTTTGCAGAATTTTCTATTTGAAACCATGTTATGTAACATAAACCACTATTTTTGAAATCACATTAATTATATGGACTTTTTCTGTATGAATATTTTCATCCAAAAACAAAATGAATATTTTAGTGACGGACTGATAAGGTTTTTCATACTAATACCAATATCTGAAGCACCAATATAATGTAAGCCTACAAATAAAATTGCTAACGGATAACGGAGATAACCAATGTTGTATTAGATATTAAAGAATAAACATCTAAGAAACCGTTTATTATGAAACAGAGAGCTGAGGAATATAATATCTAATAAAATTAACGAACTGAAGAATAATAGTTAAAAGGGATAGTTCACCCCTAAATTTTGTCATTATTTACTCATCCTCTGGTTTTTCCAAATCTGTATGAATTTCTTACTTTTTTTTTTAACACAAAAGAAGATATTTTGGAGAATGTTGGTAATTATTGCTGGTAGCCATTGTTTTCCGTACTATGGAAGTCATTACCGGCAACTGTTTAGTTAACATTCTTCAGATGATCTACTTTTGTGTTCAGCAGAAGAAAGAAATTCATAAAGGTTTGGAAAAACCAGAGGGTGAGTAAATGATGACAAAACTTTCATTTTTGGGTGAACTATCCCAGAAAACTAGTACTAAGAACATCTAGTGGTGAACATATAATGCTACAGATGAAGTGAAAACTTCACTTAGAACAGACAGACAGATGACAGTTAGTTAGTCTTTCTATCTGTCCCTGTTTTTGGGAAGGAACTGAAAAAGTCCCTTTACCAGCTGACTAACAGAGGACTACAGAATGATCTTGTCACTGCATTCAGGTTCCTTTATATCCATCCTTTTTTTTTTTTCCTTTGCAGGAGTAGTGTATGCTTATCTTCTGTACTTCCATTAAAAATCTCACTTGCTTGTCTTTAGGCTTTCTCTTTTTTTTTCATTGTTTTTTTCTCAAATGTGTGACTTTTGCTCTGACTGTCTCCATGCAAGCGAGCGTTGTTTTTGCAGGTGGTAGAGTTGCATATTGCATTACATGAATTGGATGTTTGTTTGTTTTTTTTCCTGGACAATATTGGTGGAAATGTTCAGTATTTATTTGTTGGCAAGATTTTTGTATGTCTACAGAAACTGACTATCAAAAAATGCTTTATATTGTGACACTGAAATTAATTATTAAACCCCAGTTTTTTTTTGTTGTTGTTCATTTAATATCAGATTTGGTTAATTCAGAAAAAGGCAATTTCACACAAGGGAAACACACAGCAGCTTCAACAACATCTATTTATGAATTTAATTTCACCATAGCAAACTGTCATTATCAACAGTCAATGAGTGCATTAGTGGATATCAGCCAACAAAAACTAAAATGGCATTGGTCATAAACACTATATATACCATAGGCAATACAAAATCAAAATGGGGTATGGAAAACAATACAGCAGGCTTGGCACTGGCCTTGTATTGGTCCAAAACAAGAGCGATCACCATTTATTCAGTGGAAGTTCGGTATTAAGACTTTGAGCGTACACAGTGACTAGGCTAGAGCCACTTGGATGTGGAGCAATACTGTAGAAATCTCACAACAGAAGAAAAACCAGGCAGATGAAATGAAAGCATTTTCAGCTTTTTGAATGCATGTGTGACTTGCTCTTCCAGATGTGATCATTTGCATCGCAGATGAGAGTACTGCAGATAAAAACAATCTCACGGGTTGCATATAGTTGCATTCTTTGATTTTGCATTTGTGATATGAGGTAATGTGAATACCTTCTCTAGTCAACATCTAATTTTGCAATAAGCAAAATATACACAACCAAGAGCTTGGAGGAGCTAAAATGGCATGCAGCCTTTTTCACTACAGGTAAAATGAAAATAAAAAGTGATATAACAAATTTTTCTTGTAAAACAATTCAAATGTGATAAGATAACTGATAAAAATGATCCTTCAAAGTATAAAGAGTGTAAGAATCAAAAGGTCAGATGTCAATAATACCAACATCTAAAAGTGAGATCATGCAATCCATCACCATTCTTTACCACAAATAGACTGATAACACAGAATTAAAAACATTTCAGTGCACAGAGAACATGAAAGTTAAAAGTGCTTGTAAGAGCAGATCGTCACTCAGCTTTAGAATGTACTTATTAGTGGTACATCTATGCCAAAACTGATCTCAGACCTGCATTCTAGCACTTTTATCTAGTCATCTTTAGTTCTGTAAGTTGTCCAGTAGGAGCAGCACCATTTGGGCTTTAAAGCAGGCCATTTTCACAAACACTGGGGTCACATCAGCAGAACGAGGGTTTTCATAACTCATAACTTTAATAAATGTGAGTAGTTATATTAGCATTGTTTAAATGCTACTTTTTCTGAAATTTGTTACGGATATAAAGTATTTTCTAGTGATTGTCTAGCTATCTATTGGTATTTGTCTAGGTATGTCTTAGCAGAGAGACTATTGTGTACAATGCACACAGTAATATTGACTGTAGAGTGGACATTTACTGCACAGGTAAGGTACAGTGATATTTTGACATGCATGCGTTGCACAAATATATTTTATAGCATGGCCCTGTGAGAGGAGAATACTGATTATTTGTCAACAGATAGAACTGTAATAATACTCACACACACACACACACACACACACAGACACATACATACACACACGCTCTCTCAAAGTCACATGGGAGCTGCAGAAGTGCTCAACCAAGGCTGGTTATGTTGGAACGACCACCAGGGGGTGCTACAATGCGGTGGCCAGAGCGCCGAGGAATGTTGTCGTCTATTTGAGCCCCTAATATTATTGAAATAATCATAAAAATTATACAATTGCTGTAAAATACTGATAAATTGATACATTATTCAAAGGAATCGAGGATACTGGGGAATATATTCATTAGAAAAGGTAATCTCCTCACCTGATAGGCTGAAGTTAGACTGATGCAAGTTTCTGATTGGTGGAGGCTGGTGCGTAGTGGGTGAGGTCTTGGCAGAGGGTGCTGGGGTTATATATTTGGGTGTTGCTGGGATATCATATACTGGACCATCATACATCCCACGAGAAACTCCCTGCTTGCTCATCACCTTCCACACAACAGTAAACGACAGGTTTGGTGTTACTAATAGAAACTGAGACATGAACCTAAAAGTTTGATAATACACTAATTTCTACCAGTCTTTGTATTTGCACTATAAAACAAATAACACATCTAGCAATCATTATTATTACCACGTTATTAAATGTATGCTTGGAAAATACTGAACCTTTATGTTACTACACTATTGTTAAAAAGCTTCGTGTCAGTAAGTTTTTTTTAATAGAAATTATTACTTTTATTCAGCAAGGAGGCATTAAATTGCCAGTAAAGACCTTTATAAAGTGATTTCTATTTCAAATAAATGCTGTTCTTTTGAACTTTCTATTCATCAAACACACTGACAAAAGTATCACTATTGCCACAAAAACATTAAGCAGTACAACAGTTCTCAACACTGATAAGAAATGTTTATTGAGCATCAAATTGTCATCTTAGAATGATTTCTGAAGGATCATGTGACACAAGGAATAAATTAAATGAAAAAATATATTAAAATATAAAACAGCTATTTTAGTTAAAGGGGTCATATGATGCTTTTTTAAAGATCATTATTTTGTGTATTTGGTGTAACAGAATATGTTGACATGCTTTAATGTTCAAAAAACACATTATTTTTCAAATGCTGTACATTATTGTAGGTCCTCTATGCCCCGCCTCTCTCAAACGCTTCGTTTTCTACAAAGCCCCCTCCTTATTTCCATATAGTGTGGTAGATATGTGGGGGCGTGTTAGAATGAGCCGTTTTAGGGGGGCGTGGCAGAGTCTTAACTTTGATAAAGAATATCTCTTTGGCTTTGAGACTTTAGTCTTTGCAACTTCAGGGATCTTATCTATGCACAATCAGCTTGTAACACTCCAAAGAGAAAGGAAAACTTGAAATCGCATCATATGACCCCTTTAACAATAAATTTACAATACTACTGCTTTTACTTTACTGTACTGATAAATGCAGCCTTGCTGAGCATAAGAGTATTCTTTTAAAAACATTAAAAATCATACTGAACACAAAATTTTGAATGGTACTGTACTCTGTATATACCAATAGTTTTATATATACAACAAAACTACCTGAGACTGAGTGAAGGTCAGTGAATTAATCAAAGAAGAGTCATACCTTGTTGCGGTACTTAATGCGCTGGTAGGCAATGTCAGGGAAGGGTTTGCGAGAGATGAAACGTCCAGTCCCCTGCTGAACCTGAAGCTTCCCTTCCTCAAACACAATCCTACCCTGACTGACCACATACACTGGACCACCACGACACTCCATCCCCTCAAAAATATTGTACTCCAGAGCCTAGAAACAGAAAAAAAAAAAAGTATTAGAGTGGAACAATTCAACATCCTGTTACAGGTATATACCATGCAGTATTAAATGTACGTATAACTGAATAAAAGCCATCCAGAGTATCATTCAATATTCCAGCATCTTGCAGAGATTTTCAGTCCTCACCGACTGCTGTGCTTTAGTTGTGATGGTCTTGATCTTGTCGGGGTCCCAGATAACAATGTCAGCATCTGAACCTACTGCTATCCGACCCTTACGGGGGTACAGGTTGAAGATTTTGGCTGCATTAGTGCTTGTAACTGCGACAAACTGGTTTTCATCCATCTTCCCCATAGCCTGTAGGGAACAAATTAAGTGGTGACTGATAAATGCAACCTGCACCTCAATCCATATAAACATATATGCAGATGCACCGACCACAGCTTTGTCCCAAACAAAACCCATTCTCTCCTCCACTCCATTGGTTCCCTCGGGTATAAGGGTAAAGTTGTCCTTCCCTATGGCCTTTTGAAAGGTGCTGTAAGCACAATGTCCACTACCCACGACCTGCAGATCACCACTGAAGAAAGATTAAGAGAAATGTAATTACAGGGGTAGCAGCTCCAAAAAGAACATGATCCACCCTCTAGAGCTAGTTGTGATGTTCTTTGCGACCATATTTTTATTAAGAGGTTACATAAGAATTGTACACTACTGTTCAAAAGTCTGGGGTCGGTAAGATGTTTTAATGTCTCTTTCTCTTATGCTCACCAAGGCTGCATTCATTTATATATTCAACACTAAAAAACTTAATATTGTGAAATATTATTACAATTAAAAATAATTATTTGTTATTTTAATATATTTAAAATGTAATTTATTCCTGTGATTACAAAGCTGATTTTATTTTTTAAATTACTCCAGTCCTTCAGAAATCATTCTAATATGATGATTTGGTTCCTTAAGAAACATTTCTTATTATCAGTGTTGAAAACAGTTGTGCCGCTTCATATTTTTGTAAAAACAGCGATACATTTTTTTTTTCAGGATTCTTTGATGAATAGATAAACAGCATTCATTTTCAACAGAAACATTCGTAACATAAACTGACACTTTTAATGAATCCTTGCTGAATAAACGTATTAATTAAAAAAAAAATGAAAAGCTTACTGCTCAATTTTAAATTAATTGCAAGCTCTATAGATATTACACTTCAATGACCTGAGGGATGTACAGTATATGACAGCTCTTTGCTATTTTAATTGGTCATGTCCTCAAATTTCTCTTCTATCTTTTGACCAACCAGCTTAGCTACTATAAGAGATAGTCGACTGAGCATTAACTATTAAAGACATTTCCACTAAACCTACACTAGATTTGCTTATTGAGCAACCAGCATCAGGTAAATTGCTGTCTTTTCTGTATCACTGAAATGGTTTATTCATGTGGACTAACCATAAAATCAGGCCCAACTGCAATTGTCAGCTTCAGTTAAATATTTGCAATACAAAAGGATGTACGCATCCATAATGCTTATGGATATGTGTGACTGTTATGTGGACAAAACATGCACATGATGAAATTATGAAAAAATGACCCAGACGGGGGTGATATGTTTTGAAATCCCAAAATGCAACACCACACATCTACACAATATAACTAACGTTGGTCTTTGCATCCTACACATAATGTTTAATACTTAAAAAATAATCTTTGATCTTTTCTAGAATTTCCTCTCATCCTTTGGACCCGACTAATGTATCTATGCTAAAAATAAATGTCCTCTCTCCAGCTGTGTCGGTCTGCCTCTATGTGACAGTGTGTGTGTGAGTGTGAATCTCTGTGCCTGTGAGTGTGTGTGTGTGTGTGCATGCATGTGAAAGTATGTGTGGATGTGGATGTCAACATAATGAGATCTCTCTCATAGTCTAGCAGCCTGCAAGTTATGTGTATGTGTGTGTGTGTGTGTGGTGGGGAGGGAGGAGGAGAGTGTTGTAACCATGGCAACAGGAGATGAAAGCCTGATCTATTTTTAGAAATGGGGCCAGGAAAAGGTGTGTCTGCGGTCTAGGTGTAGCAAAGAGCCAAAATAATGGAGAGAGTAGATAAAAAATTGGTAGATAATGCCACTTGGCATAGGACTCCAGTATTACACTGCATCTATACTAACTGTGCAAATGTCACAGATGTCTAAAAATGTCAAAATAATTCAAAATTATTTACCAGGCCAGTAGAGAGTGAAGGTGGTCAGGTGTTGTCGGGTCAGGGCTGAGGGGTGGAGAGGTCACATAGGCTGCTGCTTTCGCCCAGTTTTTGCTCCAATAGTGAGATCCATCTGTTGCTAAGCTGGCTGTGATTGGCTCACCAAAAACAACAGAGCCTAAAGCCAGGGAAATAAAGAGAACAAGTCCATAAATGTTAGGACTGGCATATTCAAGTATGTTTAAATTAACCAGTTGTGCTAGACATTGCAATAAATACCTTTTTTTAAGTACACCTACCATTTATGCTACTACACTATAGTTTGGTGTCAATAAGATTTTTTTTTTGGAAGAAATTAATACTTTTATTCTGCAAGGATGCATTAATTGACCAAATGTGACAGTAAAGTCTTATTATTGTTACAAAAATTCTTTCAAATAAATTCTGAAATATTTAAAACCACAAACATATTGAGCAGTACAACTGTCTTCAACAGTGATAATAATAAGAAATGCTTCTTGAGCAGCAAATCAGCAATTTAGAATGATTTCTGAAGGATCACGTGACACTGAAGACTGAGAAAAAGCTGCTGAAAATTCAGCTTTTTAATATATTACATTTTAAAATATATTAAAATAGAAAATATTGTAATACAATTTAAAATTACTGTATTTTTGATCAAATAAATGCAGCCTGGGTGAGAGACTTCTTTCAAGAATATTAAATTGTGAATTCAGCATGCAACAATATTTCACAATATGCAGTCACCTTTCTTCCGTGCATTGGTCACAATATCAGCTGCACTTTTACTCATCACTTTGGTGATGTAGACAGGGCAGTTGACTCGGTTGCCAAGGGTGATAGCGCGGAAAACAGCCTCCGCCTCCAGCTGTGAAACAGACATCCAATTACATCAAGACACTTCACTCTGCTGAAACTGACTGGATAAACAGTTACTCAGTTAAACTTCTAAACAGTTTGCCAATTTATTGATCCCACCTCCTCTGGTCGGCTCAGTGGGTGGCCCTCCGGACCAGTGATGCCCATTCCCAAGATTTTGCTTTGTTCCTTTAACACAAATATTGAAAAAACAGTAAGTGGCAGAAGAGTGTGTTTGAATTCTGTATGGCATTTGCTCATTAGACAACAGGTACCTGTGCTATTAGGTCTCCATTCTCTGCGTGCACCAGCACCACTGCCCCCAGCTCCTTAAGGAATGAGAATGCTTCATACAACTAGACGAGAGAAAGAAAGAGAGATCAAATTAGTTATTTTATTATATCACAGTACAGGATGTTCTATAGATGGAAGCATAGATACCTAACCTGAGAGTCAGGCATTTGAAATAACCCTTTGTAAGCCATGTACACTTGGAAAGAGTTGATTCCTGCCAAAAGAAGAGAACATTAACATGCATTTCAGAAAAAAATACAGTACCGTTCAAAATTTTGAGTGTGTAACATGGTTTAATTTTTTTGAAAGAATTCTCTTATGCTCACCAAGGCTGGATTTGTTTGATAAAAAAACAGTAAAACTGTAATATTGTGAAATATTATTGCAATTTAAAACTGTTTTCTATTTTAGTACATTTTAAAATGCAATTTATTCCTCTGATGGTAAAGCTTGTTTTTTTTTCAGCAGCCATTACTCTAGTCTTCAGTGTCACATGATCCTTCAGAAATTATTCTAATATGCTGATTTGCTGCTCAATACATATTTCTTATTATTATCAATGTTGAAAACCGTTGATCTGCTTAATAGTTTTTGAAACCCATCATACATTTTTTCAGGATCCTTGATGAATAGAAAGTGCAAAGGAACATTTATTTGAAATAAAAAAAATTGTAACATTACAAAGATAAATGTCTTTACTATTACTTTTGATCAATTTAATGTGTCCTTAGTGAATAAAAGTTCTTTTTTTTTATTGACTAACCCCAAACATTTGAACGGTTGTGAATAAACAATCATCAGCATTTGGCACATTGGCCAAATTGACAACAGGTGGCTCTGAAACATCAGTATGATCATGATATGTGGCTTTAAAAGCACAAAATACTTTTAGCTTTGCAAATACTGTCACATCTTTAAATATGTGTTCACCTTTTTCCTGTACCAGCTGATCGAGTTCCTCCTTCACACCTTCATGCCAATGAGGGATATCCACATGAAGTGAATAATCACAGCAGGACTTTTTATCAGCCGCTTCCTGCCACTTCTCAAAGGCCTCCAAAAGACTGTCACCAGGCTGTGGAGTCACATGGTCAACTGAAACAGAAAATGATGGATTCTGCTCAAAATGTGTTTGAGATTTTATGTTTTGGTTGACTTTTGAAGATTCTATTAAATAGTTCCTATTATTTTCTGTTGAAGATGCTCTTACTTTGCTGCTTTAGTCCTAAATTACTCTATTGATGCTCCTTGAAGACTTTTTTATTATGCACAAAGACTCTTTTCTTTCTTTGTGTCACACACAACAGCTAATAGTTCTAATACATTGTTTAAAGAAAATTGGCTATTGTAACCATAAAAAAAAACTCTTGGCTCAGACTGCTAGAGAAAGCAAAATCTGACTGGCTATAGCTGACATGCACGACCGAGGGCATGTCCTTGTAGCAAGCAACAACAGACATATTTGGGACACTGCTTTGCTCTCACCGGGAGATGCAAGTGAGTCCTAGTCCAGGAAGTTGCTCAGAACATTTGGCACTGCATCCTAAATATTCAACATACTTGAACTTTTGCCACAATCCTGAGATCAAATGTCATTTTAGTCCTTTTTTTTTTAAGAAAAACTTTCAAATTTTTTTTTTTTTTTAAATGCCAGATAAACAATTCATGCAGACTTACTGATCATGGTGGTTCCTCCTGCCAGAGCAGCTTTGGTGCCTTGGTAGAAGTCATCCACAGGTGGAGTGCCCAAGTAAGGCTTATGCAGGCAGGTGTTCACATCAATACCTCCAGGAATCACCTTACACCCATTAGCCTCAATCACCTTCACGCCCCCCGGCACAATCAGGTTCTCCCCAACCTGTCTGAAGGCGAGATGGGAAACGAATACATTACAAACACATTACATACTACACAAACACATTACGTACTACACATGCACTATATTACATGACAGACCAAATTACAGGTGTGCAATTGAAACAAAAAAGTTATAAAAAGGTTTTAATGGCCTGATGCCACAGGAGAACTTCATATGATGCCAAATTTAACATGCTATGCAATATAATGCAATTAATCATTATTTCTTTCTATTGACAGCCACAGTTTTGTTAACAGAACATTTACACAACAGAACAGAAAGAAAAACAAATCTGCATAATCTACCTCATAAGTGTTCACGCACCAGTATGAATGGGCCTTTATACATGAAAATCATATAATTCATATTAATAATATTTGCTTGTGCATGAGCATAAATCCTTCTTCAAAGTAAATGTCAGCAAACAGTAGACAATTATTTCAAATAGATTTCTAAATTTGAATTAACTGTTTTGAAATAACGTTAACATTAAGCAAACTGGACATTTTACATTCTTTGGAATACCTGCATGTAACTACATCTGTAATTAATTTCTGTAATTACAATTTATTTAACCCATACCACCAAACCTGTCCCTAATTTTACCCGTATCTCACCTCAATAGCAGCAAAAGTGTTTTGCAATACAATATGAACACAATATGTACTTAATTTTGATGTAGTTAAGGCCACTTAATATAAAGTGGGACCAAATAACATTCCAGTAAAACTATGAATTAATACATATTTTTTAAGATGCTGCATAAAGCAATTTTTTTTTTGAATGTGACTTGATTGGTGCATAGTTTTCATGCATGCATCATTCATATTTACAACAATGATACGCAATTGCTACAGAAAAATTGCATTGTGCTTTGTAAAAGTGTGCATTTGCTTGTGCATGGTGTCTTACTTAATAATTCCATCTTCAACATAAACGTCAGCATATAGCGACTGATCATCATTGACCACTCTTCCACCTTTAATCAGCAGCCGCTCGCTCTGAAGAAGAGAGGAAAAGAAACACAGAGAGCGAGCAAGAGAATGAGTGATTCCAGCAGCAGTTTAAACCTTATTTTACCTGCTATATTTGCAATTCAGTGAAGTTCTCTTACAACCACTGATAAAAGAGCCTTCTGCACAGTTTCAGCCTCACACTCTGTGAATGGGTGGGGTTCTATGAACAGAGAAGAGCAAATGTGGTAATGTGTTAACATGTTAGGTTGCCATGGTAACCTCGCATCACCCAGTTGTCAGGAAGGCACATACCATGGCGTTTTCCTTAACTGATTCAGACTTCGTATTCAAAGCAAAAACCTCAATATATGCGCTATTCCTAGATGTCAACTAGGCACAGATCGCAATGATTGCTTTAGTCTATAGGATTAGGATCATTCTAATCCATTACTCATAACTACAGGCAAAAATACAACACATAGGGCTCATATTCCTATGTTCTTAACTGTTTTAATGTGTGCACTGGCATTTAAAAAACAAGTGTCTGTTTATTCCAGATTTCTGCTCTTGGCGACAGACCCTGTTGCGTCTAGTCCGCTGCATATGCACTCGCCATTTGTCAAATGAAACGCACCCAACAAAGCTGCTGTAGATTTATGCACGATTCATTGTGCATCTATTGTAAATGCAAACGGAGCGTTCGTCGCTTCATGCACGGCAGGGATGTGTGCCTGGCTGGGCCACATTGTAGCAGTAATGTTAACCTTTCCGTTGGCTGATTTCAGTGCTCTTCTAAGCGGCCTCTGCTTTGTTGGCTCGCTAAGAATTTAATCCCTTCTCGTTTCCCCCATGCGCAGGATTCACCGGGAGCCGAAGGGTCGCCTTGCAGCCGGTGTCTTACCGTCAAATGCGGGATGTTCTTCTTTCCTTGGTAGCCCGTCCCAGACATCTCTCTTTTATGATTTGAGGAGATGAACAATGAGCAGTCACCCGCTTCTTTGTGCCACCAACCCACTTAACGAACTAGCGCTCCGTTAGTAGCCTACTGCACAAGCGAGCGCCTCTCCCGAGGGGTGCGTGTGTGTTTGAGTGTATGCGTGTGTATGTGAGCGTGTATCTGTTCGCCTGTTTGAAGACGTGTTTTTTGTATTTGAGTGTATTTTGGAGAGCCCTCCTCACATGAAACAAAGAGAGAGAACTGGGCGAGAATCGGTAAAAAGAATGTCGGCGTTATGGGTCAAAAATGGTCTACTAATAGTTTCGTAAAATAGTTTTTGTTTTAAGATATATTGAATAATAAGGTTAATTCATGAATTAAAAACGAGTCAAATACGTTTCTAAATTTATTATTATTTGTAATTATGAATAGGCTAGTTCAAAAATAACGTTCTACAAGGAAAGATATTTTTGCATTGCAATTGGAATGTTACAAATCGACCTTCCTAGAATGTTGACCGGTTCGCGGAAAAGAACCGGACTTCCCATCACTACACTGCACAAGCGAGCGCCTCTCCCGAGGGGTGTGTGTGTGTTTGAGTGTATGCGTGTGTATGTGAGCGTGTATCTGTTCGCCTGTTCGAAGACGTGTTTTTTTGTATTTGAGTGTATTTTGGAGCGCCCTCCTCACATGAAACAAAGAGAGAGAACTGGGCGAGAATCGGTAAAAAGAATGTCGGCGTTATGGGTCAAAAATGGTCTACTAATAGTTTCGTAAAATAGTTTTTGTTTTAAAATATATTGAATAATAAGGTTAATTCATGAATTAAAAACGAGTCAAATACGTTTCTAAATTTATTATTATTTGTAATTATGAATAGGCTAGTTCAAAAATAACGTTCTACAAGGAAAGATATTTTTGCATTGCAATTGGAATGTTACAAATCGACCTTACTAGAATGTTGAGTTAGGCTATCAAGTAAAAGAATGTTGAGCAAGCATGCTAACCTTAAAATATCGTTCCAATAAAACTGGGCAAAAATCTTCAAAGTGACAAACGTGACAGTAAAATAATGCGACCGACATTTACTAAATAGAAAATGCAACTTAAAAAAAATGGTTTGCATAGGAAATTCTGGAAACGCCCCATAAATTTAATCTTTTTTACTTATGGTAGCATTAACAATATTTTACACTGAAATACAAAATAAGCATATATTTCTTCTGTAGGCTAGCCTATAAGGCAGACTAATTCAAACTCAATTTTGAAGTTTTTTGTTTTTGTTTTCTTATAGTAAAATTACAGTAGGCTATTGGATTTTATATCTTAGTATGTTTTTCCATGTATAAGGTTTTACTGTCGCATAATAGCTGGGCT